AGAATAACCAGCATCAGATGAGGTGAATAAAGAATTCAGGCGGTGCGTTTTCACCACTATATTTTTAAAATTACTTGTTAGATTGTGTTTACATGTTAAACATGTATAAACACACACATATGTACACACACACATAGTGCCTTGCCATTGAACAATCATACATAGCTTTAATATGTGACGAATTTTACAGTAACTCTGCTAACAGCACAGTAAGTGTAGTTTTTATTATTTTTTTACCTTATTCAGTTTCACAGCATTCAGTTCCATCAAATGTTTTTTATATTATTTCTAAACAAATGACAGCAAACTAATTTTTTTTTTATATATTAAAAAAGTTCATTTACTGATGCTTGAATAGTTCAGATGTGGAGTAAAGTCTTCTCAAACACATTTCACAGATCCTCAGAGGGGTTTCTAGACTCTGTGAGATCGGTCTGTGTAGTCTGAGGGGTCTGGATTCTGTGGGATTTGTCTACATGGTCTAAATCCAGAGGGGTCAGGACTCATAGGGGTGTGTTTGGGGAGGGTGGGTCTAGATTTGATGGTGTCTAGACTTTGCAGGATTATGACTCGGTGAGTTCTGGACACAGTGAGGTCTAGATTCTGTGGGATCAAGACCTTGTGGGTTCTGGATTTTTTTGGTGTGAAAAATGACACCGCACATTCCCAGTGTGATCAGGTAAATCCTGGTTTGTATGATTGAAGCTGTCAGGTTTGAGAACCAAACTCAAAACGATGGTGCTTCTTAACACAGAGAGGAAAATCACTGTTTCCTTAAAAAACACATCTTTCTTTAAACAAAGACGTCTTTATCCCTGAAGCTGTACCAACAAATCCATTTGCATTTAACATTTAATGTTATCTTCATTTAAACATCTCAATTTGAGATTTATTGTTAAAAAGAAACTGTGTTACAACAACACTGTGATGTTTGTTCTTTTTAAAGAGTGACAGTGAAGACACAAACTTTTTTAATTCCCTTTTTTTTAGGTACAAAAATCTTTGAGGGTCTGATTCACTGAGAATGAACTGTACACATCTAAGGGGCAAATAGTGTCCATTATTTACTGTAATGATCTGTTTTTTGCAGCGTTAACAAACATTTGTCCTAAACTGAGTATACAAGGTAAAGTTTAAAATAAATCAAATTACCATTCATTATTTCAGCATGATAAATTATATAT